AAATTATACTCCTTCCCATCAACAAAAGCCGAAACACAAAAGGATCAAAAGTTTCAACATGTTCATTGATATCCCTAAACATCTTAGAACAAATTTCTCTAAACGCGGATGAAATTAGATAGTTGAAATTATTTGAGTTACCCACAAAAAAATCAACTATGAAGGGCGTAAAAGTAGCAATTCGAACTGATGTAGGGAAACCTGGCTTCTCAAACCGTGGAACAACTCTTAATGGTTTCCCATGGCATTCACGCTGCAGGAACTCAAGAACATCAGAAGAGGCAGTTGCAATTGAAATGGCATATGCTCCAAAGTTGTTTGCCGGAAACTCTGCCATGATACTAATTGTATCCAAAACAGCACCATTTTCTTCTGTTATAGGAAGATCAAAACCAAACAACGGTCGTTTTCCACTTGGTTCAGATATTATCCATTCCAGCTTTTGTTCTTCAGACCACTCACGGTTGGAACCAATTTCCAAGTGTTGGGTATTAGTGATGGAAGGCATTTTATCAAACACTTGACACCCATCATTTATGCCTTCGATTGCCACAGGTAACGACTCCGTTTCAGGGCTGTTTTGGTCTTGCTCCACCGTTTTTCCTGTCAATACTCTTAGGATCTGTTCGAAATAACCCTTATTCTTTGCAATCTTTGTCTCCAGGTACTGCTGATCTTGCTTCACCAGCTTTGATAAGTCGTTAATCTGGTTTTGAATTATAGAAAGAGCAGAGGATTCAACCATTGCTTTGCCAGGAGTTGTGACTCTGATACCAATTTGTTATGACCCAAGAGAATCGGAGAAGAAAAGAATCGAAGAAATAGAAATAGATATTAAGAGAAGAAGATTTAGAGAAGAAATAGAGGTTGAAGAAGAGAACAATTTCATTCAATTTTCAGATAATTTCCTCCTGGTTCAGTACACGTTTTATTTGTTAACATTGTACCAATTCTAACCAATTTACCAGCTGGCAGTACAACTGTCTAACAGAATTGTTTTTCCTGCAGGTGCTGCTGGCATGATTCCTTCCCATGATTTGGTCCATCAGGTAAGTGACTAAGCCCTTCTAATTTTGTATTCCCAATTACCCTAGTTTTCTCAATTGAAATCCCTAACCCTACTTTTAATTCCCCCAATTCTCCCCCGCCTTTTCCGACTGTTTCTATCTCTACTACTCATGACACATACCTTTTCGAATACAGCTCTGACTTGCTTGAGGATATCAGGTTATTGCCAAAGGGCAAAGTGGGAAAGCTGGGCAAACCATAGCAGTTAAGTTCAGGGGATCCACATATTTAGGATGCTGTTTCATGGCAAGAACCAGTCAGCTGATCGTTTAATTCGACAAACGAATGATGACAAAACGAAGGAGAGTAAGGCAAACAAGCTTGGTGGGATTCTAAGCAACAGTGTAAAGCCGTAATGGTTTGCGTGATCCCATACTAGCGGTCTTGTCTAGCTACTAATGTGCCATTAAATTATGGAACTCCTAAGTGAACTACAAATGCCGGCAGCCGATTTCTTCATCGATCGATTTTATTATCTCTTTACAATTTGAGATACTTTGTCATATTTGCAACCAACCCAATCTCAATGGACAAGGAAAATATCCTAAACCATTTGATTAAGATGTTCAACTTTAAAACTTTAGCAAGTAATGAAAATCTCACCAGCAGACCAGCTTGAGCAAGAACCATGGTAATAGGACGCCTCCACGCACTACGAATATCACACAAAATGAGGTTTTGGTTTGGGGTGATTCACACATTTAAATTATACTTTTCTATTACTTCCCTCAGTGTCTTTTTCATTTTTCCTCCGATACGACCATTATCTACATGGAACCCGGAAAACAAAGCACCATCTCCCTGTCAGAAGAGAAGATACAGAGAAGGTCATATGCACGGTATTAAAGCTAAGGATGACATTATAAATGAAAACAATTATGGCATCATGAATGATATCTCCAGATTAAAAACACAAACCTGCTCATGGAATCCCAAGTAACTCTTAAATTCCTATTCAGGCAACTCATGGAAAGGCTCAAATTTCTTTCCATAATATTGCTTGACAACGCTTCTAAACTTTTCAATCCCCCAAGAGCTGATCAAATATTTCATTCTACTATATCTACGGTCATCTCTTCTTCCATAATCACGTTGTGTGGCAACAATGGCTTTAATGGCATACAAAATGTCCGCCTTTGGCACGTGACCGAGTTAGGGATGGCAACTCAACCCGAATCCGACGGGTTTCGACCCGACCCGATCGGGTTTTTTTAAAAAAAAAATCGGGTTCGGGTCGGGTTTAGGGTAAAAAAAAATCCGACCCGACCCGACTCGAAAAATATATATAATTTTATCTTATATATTTAGGGATAATTACAATAATATCCCTCCATATATAATTTTTTTCAATTAAGTCATTGTTTTCATTGAATTAATTTTCTTTTTTTATTTCGGGTCGGGTCGGGTTTCTAAGTCATATATTCGGGTCGGGTCGGGTGAAACATTAATTTTGTCGGGTCGGGTCGGGTCACGGGTGGAGAACCCTTTCTTCTCGGGTCGGGTCGGGTGGCCCAAAAACCCGACCAGACCCGACCCATTGCCATCCCTAGACCGAGTGGTTCTCCCAATTGTGGGAAAGTGGTCTCCATCCTATGGGTTCTTCCCATGCCACCGCCAACCTGCAATAACAATTATGAGAAATGGATGCTTTTCGGTAACAAAAGTGTGCAAGATAAAAGGGAAAGGTACAATTTCTTTGATCCTACAGTAGTCTTACATATATGTTGAAACCCTGAGGCTCCCCATTTTCATCTGAAACAACCACGACACCGATATCATTTGTAAGAATATCCACTGAGTTATCAGTTGGCACAGTCACAGCAATCTTAAGCTTCCTTGGCAAGAACTGCGTCCCGTATATAGGCTCAGGAGAATCGGGGAAATTCGTTCCATGAGAATTATCATTCCTAGCATTCACGACTTTTGGAGGCTCCGATGTCATGAATTTCTCCCCATCCACCCATACATCATAGTAAAAACCCGACTGAGGAGTTAACAATGCAGCAATATTGTCAGCAGTTTCTTGTGCAAAATGATATTCTTTCATCATTAGTGGCGCTGTGGGAGCAAGCACATTCCTATTTAGTTCCCCGCAGGCACCAAGGGCCGAACCCATGTTTCTAATAATGGTGCTCATTACAGTCTTGAGGTCCTTTAAAACACCATGGAGCTGAAAGGCCTGCCTTGTCGTCAAACGCAAAGTTCAGATACCGAATTGATCAGCAAGATCGTCCATAGTCAAGTAGAGCTGGTTCGGGACTTTGCCACCAGGGTTTTTAGTCCGAAGCATGAACGAAAAAGACCTTGTACCACGCACATCTCTGTTATACTGTTGATAGCTTGTTTCAGGCTTCACTGGCTGCAAAGGGAGTCAACAATAAAAGAAACGATTCAGCATAAAAATTTGTACATTTAGAGGAAAAGAATATTCTCATTTCGCAGAGGAAAATGTGTCATTTTACTAGAAAGCAGTCTCAATTGACCATTTGACACTAGCAATTCTCAGAAAGCAATAACGAATCAAATGTAATTAAAAAATATTCTTTTTTGGTGAAAGAAATGAACAAGCTGAGAGAAAAGAAAGTGAAAAGGCGTACAAGTTGCAAAAAGGTACAAGATTTTCTCAGACTTTCTTGGATTCCAAACAACAATCAACATAAAACGAAATTAAATTACACAGACAAAACAAAACAAAACAGACCGTGGATACAGCTCTGATGGAAGTAGGACTACAGAAAGGAGTGGGAAACACGCGGATATTCCTCTTGAAAGCTATGGAGTGTGAAGATTTCAACCCAGTGAAGCTCTAGACTCGAATCCTCGGATCCGCCGGTATGACGGTACCCGTCGGAGTTCCAAACGAGGTCGTCATTAGCTTGAAAGAAAAAGCCAAAACTATAACGTTTGAATTTGGTTTCCTTTAGAAAAAGAAAAGTTGAGTTCAAAATGAAGAAGAAAAGGGTGGAGCGACAATGGCGAAGGAGAAAGCAGAGGATTTGAAGCTTTGATAAGGAAGTGGAGCATGTTTGTGTGAAGTGCGATAAACAGCTTAAAATAAGAATTCAAGAGCAAGTGTTTTGCACTTGGTTTTGCTAAGGTGCGCCCCTCACGTGCATGCCACGGGACTCATTTGATCGAATCTGGATTCTGGATTTCATTACATTTCTACGCGCTATGCGTTATGGGTCTTATTTAAGTAATTTATATGATTAATTATACCTCTAATGTAATCGGCAATCAATAGTATAATGAGACGAGAGATTAAATCATTAAATAAAATTAAAGGTTTAAATTTTTATGTTTTAGTATAAAATAAATTAAAGTTAAAAAAATATCCTCACCTTTGTCATATCTAATTAAATTAATCGATTAATAATTAAATAACGATAATTATATAAAAAAAATTATACCTCCAATGTGAATTTAATGCTACATTGAACTTGGACGGATTTACGTTTTACCCATCGTGAAGACAAGTAGGTAACAACTTAATTTTTTTTTTTTTTTGATATTAAGTAGGTAACAACTTAAAATGAGAGATCTGCGGCGGCTATTGGATATTTTATTATTATTTTTTATTAAAAGATATTTGTTGATGGACAACTGAAAAACAGGCAACGTCTTGGCCGTCAACTTGACAAATGATCAACGGCCTTACTCTTATATACCCTTTATCTTTATATTTATAAAAGTGATTTAAAAAAAAGCAACTTGTTATATCATAACTACGTCTTCCATGCTCATAAACACCAATCTACAAAACGAAACGTCCTTCAACTTAAAACGACAAATAAGTGTGCCATCTCCTTGTTATGAAACCTTTCCCACAAACCACTACCTTAACTACATACTATTGAGGTCTATTCAGCAGTATATGTACAGAAATGCAGGCAAGGGAAAATTGATAGAAGCACAGAAGACAAACAATGTCCTCTCTTCTCCCCTTCCGTCTAACAGAAGCCAAGAATGATTTGCCGCCTCAACACTGAAATTGCCATGATCGTGCTCGAGGACAAGTCTTGGAGTTTGACTGACCCTTCAGCTTTTGAAAGGGTGTCCTCCATTTACCGGATAGCAAGCGGCCTGATTAGAGGAGATGCTACTGCCTAGGTTCTGATAATGACTGCTGCCGTTCACATGGTGCGTGTCGTGCACATGGGACACTCTTGCCTCTTGCAGGGTGAGGGCGGAACTCCAGGTTTCGGCAGAATCGGTTTGCAATGGTTCGGAACTGGAGGAACTTGGAGACTGAGATAAGGCAGGACCTGAACCTGACCCTTTTGCTTCTCCCGTATCAGTATCGGCATCTGTTTTCTTCGCAAAACGTCCTCCACTACCTCTCGCCCTACGCAAAGCATGTTGGTGCCTAGATTCGTGAAGATAGGGCTGTAGGTTATAGGAAACGAGATATTACACAGATAGAGGTCAGATGACATACACCGCAAATTTTAACAATAAAATGGTACAAAATTCTCACAAAGTAGCTATTTGAACTCCAATAGGCAACATTTAAAATAATCTCTTGTTTAAACTGTCAATGATCACTAGTGTTGACAACTAAAAGAGTATGTGGTTTTTTATTTACCTTTCGGGATTTTAGAACCTTCTTCTCAAGTTCTGCTTTGGCACGGGCCTGCCTTCGCCTCAGAATTCCCTGGTATTGTTTAGCATTTACATAAACAGGCTCTTGTGCCGTTTCAATCGGCAAAGTCATTCTTGCATGAGGCATTCCAACAAATGGGGGATAACACTGGCCATAGCAAAAAATTGTCCATTAGAAGGTGCACCATTTCTGGAACATCGAGTATCAAAAGAAGGTTCTCAAATGAAGAATCTTACTGTAATAATGCTCTTGATTTAGAGGATTTTGTCATATTATAAAATGTAAACTAATAGAAGAAGATTATGTAACATAGTAAAATCATGCTTCAGTTGGATTTCCCTATTCCCTTGCATCCCATGTCAACAATCCCCCAAAACTCCACAAAGATAGGAAGAAAAAGAGGAGAAAGGAAAATCAATGGATGGAAATAAACCACTAACTGATCCAGAGTCCATATAAGGAAAAGAAATCCTTCCAATCTACTATGCAAAAACACGACAGACACTGTTCCTTAGGCAGCCATTTTTTCTTCTCGATGTTTCACCAACCATTTTTCCCTTTTGTACAGGGAAATTCAAATAAAATATCATGGACAGATGATGAACTAAATATTGAGAATTGGAAAGAACTAGAAATTCAAAATCATACCGGGTTTCCTCAATGAAATTTGATAGACTAGCCCTACATATACCATTCTTGGAAACACACATACATATACCATTTTTGCTCGGGCAAAGCACATTTTTTGCTTCTTGTGCCACAAATATATAAAAACCCTTGACAACAGTGAAGAGGACATGTGTACAAACATGCTGGAAAATAAGCAAAGTGCAAATCCTGCTGGATTCCTCTCCAACTCAAACCAAGGAAGAAAAGAACAGTCAAGTTCCTTTTTCCATCCAGAAAAAAAAATGATTATGCTTTGCATTCGAAAATGCAAGTTAGGCAGCAGAAATGTTTATTAAGTGGAATGGCATAATATATGCATTTGTTTAGTCATGACAAATCCATACTACAATCACCGGCTAAAACTGCAATCTATTTTGAAGCATCAGTGTAACCTTGATGTCTCAAGAGAATGATTTCATGCAAAAGATAAAAGCACTAACAGAAAAAGATCTACAAGCAGAAAAAATTGAAGATAAAATTAATAAGAGGAAAATGATGAAATCATAAAAGAAGAAAGCATCTATATTGGATCATAATCATATTGATAAACAGACTAAAGCTCCATACCAAAGGCTGATGTCCATAAGCTGCCATCATTCCTCCATAATGTGGATCCATATATGGATTTGATGCACATGCCTGCAAAGGATTGGAAGAAAACTAGGAATCCTTCAACGACAAGTTCTGAAACAACGAGATCCCTAATTGTATACTATGAATTGAACAGAAATCTTGGGCCAGAGGCACTTACAATTGAATGACCAACAAGCTCGAGAAGGGGAGGCTGCGTGAGGCCTTCGTCACGCATAGCGGGTACAGTAGATGCAACAAGATGCGAATTGTGATGTTCTTGTCTGCCATTTCCAACTGCGAATGAATAGAAGAAAATGATTGGGAACCCATCAACCACCAATCTCTTGTATGAAAAGAATAATCAGTAACAGACAGTAATACCAACATATTAGGCGACTAAAGCTCTATAGAGAGCATGGAAAATATTACTTCATAGCACATTTACTTGTACGGTTATACCAGTCAAGAGAGACCAAATGTCTTCTAGTATTCTGGAAAACTACAGCATATTTAAATGAACCGTTAGATCTTTCAGTTAAATACTTTAAACAAATTTGAAAAGAACTGAGGGTTTACATGAAACAGTAGTAAACACTAAACAGAACCTAAAACAATATATACTTTAAACCATCTATAGATCCATGTTCAATCTCGGAAGTCAAGAAATGATGAAGAGTATGACCCAAAAACAAACTTCGTTGAGACTTAGCCATTCATATTACTAACATCATTTTAGTAGTTATTTCCTAAAGATATTTACTAGAATAGTGATGTGAAGTACCAGCCCGAGAGGATGCAGTAGTTTGTCTTTCTTTATTAACACCATCCTCTTCATTTAGCCCACCGTTGGATAGTGAATGAACATCATTTGACTCTGAACCATTCGGGCATTCCATTGAAGATGAATTTAATGAGTTTACTCCTCTCACTCCCGTGGAGATGGAACCATAACCGATATTAGGTCACTTTAGTTCAGAATAAACTGCAGTTGGATGAACACCACGCACCTCAGGTTCTAATTGACTTCCATCTACAGAATTTGACTGCATTCTTCCATAAAAAGCTCAAATGATAGTCAATTTCTAATATACAAAGATGGAAATTTGTTCTTTGGGAATGCAAATTCTTCTTACTTACGTAATGGCACATGCGACTAACAGAACAAAACAAAACAAAGCAGAAAGAAAACATAAAAAAGGGAGAGAAATAATTTCCACATTCATCAGAAGAATAAAGCAAAGCTTATTTTAAAAAGAAATGAAAGCATAAAAAGCAATAACACAAAACTTTGACCGCATACGAATGCAAAACCCAGAAATGAAAAAAATTAATATATTCTGTGCCTATGTTAGTAAATTTAGATAACTAAGGGGAAGATATTAGTAAATTTCTATTTCGTTACTTGTTCTATGTTCAAAATTCGATGGACTGAGGAAACTATCCAAAAATACATCAAGGATTTGGCGTTTTATTACAAATAAAATAGAAGTTTCTCAACTACTGTTCTTCTGCACATTTTATCGGTAGCAAGTCTTTTTACTTTCGATGTTCTCCAAAATATCAATGTTTAGAACATTCTTTTTCTGTCTCGACAAAGTTCTTTCCTTGGTCTGCTCAAAGTTTAAACTTTGCACGCTTCACCAATTTTCTTTCCCTAAATTTCCAGAAATTCAAAAAATCTTATTCCTTGCCCTGCATGGAATCGAGGATTTGAATTTATTTGAAAGAAAATATCTTTTCTCGTATTGCCTCACAAATCCCAAAGTTTCTAACACTAGAGATCACATCAATTCATCGAAATCCACAATTAAAACCTCAAATTCCGTACCCCAAACACATAATTCTCACGCTCACGAAAGGGAAATTTTAAGCCAGGACAAAGACCTCCAAATTCTCAACACCCTAAACTAATTCCAATCCCACTTTAAAAATTACCCAAAAATGAAAAAGAAGAAACAACTGAAAACAATCAGAAATTAAGAAACCAAATAAGAAAAAGGAAATTGAAATTGAAAAGGACACTTACCCGTTTAACCGAGAAGAACAGAAACAAAAACCCTAAATTTCGGGGACTTTTCAAGAGAGAAAATCAAAATCGATAAGAGAGAGAGAGAGTCAATCTAGTTTCTGTGCATTTCTCAGTATAACACTAAAGAAGAGCTTCACCTATTTCTGTCCCCTTTCTAGAATTTATCTATTTATTGCGTACTTGAACTCTGAGAATTAAGCTTCTGATCGCGTCACCAACTGTTGGTATTCCAGGTTTTGTCGAGCTTTTACCGACACGTGGACCATTTCCTTATGTTCCACGTGGCCTTCTCTGTTGTTGTTACGACGAGTCCATTCAATCGCAATGTCATCCCGGTGTTGTAACAACTGTTTATAATCCTCTTCTCTACAACCAACTGTAGCAACCATTTGCTACTACTGCCAATTCCTTCCAAGCAAATAGTTGTAATATCTCTTTTAAATTTTCTCGGATATATTTTTATTCTTATTCTTTCTTCTATCAATTGTAAATTTCAATCCCTCAAAACTGTTAAACATCTTTTAAAAATTCTCAAAATCTTTGAAATTTACATGTCTTTTAAACCATTGATAACCTCTTAACACGACATTAATAAATTTATGTGATCTATCAAAACTAAATGTATTATTTACCGACATTAAAATTACTATTTAAGTTATCGTGCATTGCATAGAAAAATAAATTTTTCTCTCTTGAGTTCACTTTCTCTAATTCTTTTTTTATATCTTTTTATTTCCTTTATCCGTTAAATCACCAATCATGATTTTTTATCTAAACTAAAAAAAATAAACTGTTAAAAAATTGTACTATTTTTGGATAATATGATGGAAAAAATTATTTAGGGTCTTAGGAGAAATATTGTATGATATAATATGATTATTACAGTATTCATCGGATGATGTCTGAACAACATAATGCTTTTAACAAAATTAAACGTTACAAATTTTCAGATATGTATACAATTAAGAAGAAGATATTTAATCGTTCGAACGCCTTTAATAAATACTATAACAATCATGTTGTATGAGAAAATAATTCACTCCACACTCTATAAAATTTTTTTCATCATAGCAGCTGAATTATTTTATCTAATAAAACATTATCTCAATTTAATTTTTACCATAAACAAAACCAATATATGCACACATAAATTCATCCGCAACCAACCGCACCGGTGCCATCCCACACTGCCGCTTATCGTATACGCGTCACAAACTCTTTACCAAAATTAAAACTTTTGAAAATGGCATTGACCTTTCCGTGGAGAGCATTTATTAAGAAGAGAAAACCGGTGAAGAGCCGGTTGCCGGTGAAAAAGCGAGTGTACATAGGCTTACGTTATGAAAAGACGGAGTAACGGAGGGAAAGAAAATAAAAATAAAAAAAGGGGAGAGAATTGGCATATGGGAGGTAAGGCACACGTGACACGCACTTGACGAGCATAGAATACGTGAAACGCGTGTCTCAAACCCGGGACCACTTTCATTAGAGTAACGACAAATAAGCTGGTCTATTTTACAAGATAAATATAAAATATATTTATTAAATTTTAAATTTCTTGTATTACCTATTCTTCATAAAAACATACTATTAAATAAATCACAATCACACAGGATTATAAAGAATGGATCAAATCAAATGTAAGCAATATTACTGAACCGTACAAGCCTTGCTACGGAAAATCCAAGTTAGAAATCAAGCGACGCTTTGGCCGAGTGGTTAAGGCGTGTGCCTGCTAAGTACATGGGGTTTCCCCGCGAGAGTTCGAATCTCTCAGGCGTCGCATTAGATGTTCTTTTCATCTATTTTAGCTATTTGAAAATTCCAGAAATAGCGAAAGCCTTTTTAAAGGTAATTATTAAATGGTCGGCCAAGCTTTAAGCACCATGCTTTAGCCAAAAGGAAAAACTAGGGATGGAAATTTAACCCGAAAAAATGTTAGATTTCGACTCAATCTAATTTAATAGAGTTCGATTCATTTTTAAAGGAAATTTGATTTCGGGTTCGATTTGGTCGGATTTTATATAAGAGTGAGATGAATAGGTCTGTAAATGAACTGAACGTTTAACGAACCGTTCATGAATCGTGTGGCGGAAAGTTCGTTTATGTGCGTTTATTTATTAAATGAACGAACTTGAATAAAATTTTGTGTTCGTTTAATTAAATAAACAAACACGAACATAGGTCTCGTTTGTTTATTTACATTCGTGAACGTTCGGTTATGTTCGTTCATTTATGTTTAACTCAATCTTCTTAAATCAATTTTGGTGACCAATTTGTAAGTATTTTAAAAATATTAATTAATCTGATATTCTGATGACCAACTCCATAATTAACCCAATTTTATTTGGATATTAAATCCAATATGTTAACCTGTGAGGCACTAGCACCTATATTCATTTCCCCTTTTTTCCCAAACCCTAATGTTTACTTGAGAGTGGAGACGATCAGTGACAGCTTCAAAACAAGTTACATTATAGGCAATCTAAAGTTTTACAGGTCTGTTTTCATCTCTTTCTCTGTTTTCTTTGGCTTAATAGTTGATATGTAAAGTTATTGTAGGTATCTTTACATCTAAAACTCAAGAAAACATCATACTTCTTTCTAGAAATAGATGGAAAGATAAAGGTAACAATCGGAAGTATATGAACACCAGTAAAGAGAAAAATATATAGAATTAGTCAGAAAACAAAACAAAGGTTTCTATGCAATTTATGAAAAAGAGTGTAATAGCAGAAGTAATGGATTTTTAGGAAGAACCCATTAATAAGTAGAAAATACACTTTGACAATGAACTTTTGTTTTCATAGTTCTTGTGTGACCTTTAGTTGTGGAGTAGACTTTAGGTACGTTAAAATTTTGAATGGTGGTTTAGCAATAATATCAATTACGATATGTAGTATCGGAGGGATTTCAGATCTATGTTATTGCCTTGTAGTCCAATTTGTACCGTTCGAAATCTTCATGCAGTTAAATTTTTTACTCTGCCAACGGAAAGGACCATTATTAACAAATCTCACTAGAGTCAGACATTGATGTCACAAAACTTTTAGCCAACAAATTTATTAGAATAACTTAGGGAAAATGATTGTTCATATGTAATCATGGACCACTAAGATAAATATTATAGCGTTAAATTAAAGTCGTGTGAATCATTTAATATCTTTAAAAGATCGATCGAAATATCTGATATCTTCAAACATTTCATAACTGCTAATCAGCTCTTACACTATTTATCACTGTATATTTGGTTGATTTGCATTGTCGACTATTTTTCATGAAAGAACAATGGAATGTATGGTCTCAACGTTTTTGTTCGTTTATGTTTGTGTTCATTTATGTTCGTGTTCGTTTATGTTCGTTTATTATTAAATGACGAGCATGAACAAGCTATATTCCTTAATGAACGAACATGAACAAAAAAAAATTGTTCGTTTATGTTCGTGTTCGTTTATTTATTAAATAAACGAACAGGAACATACCTCGTTCGTGTGCGTTTGGTTCGTTTACAGGCCTAGAGTGAGGTCAGATCAGATGGGGGTGAAAATATTCGACTCGAGAATAACTATAATAATGTAAGTGTTCATTTAAATTTATGGATAATTGCTATAATATCAAACTCTCTATATTTTTTTAATTAAATCGTTGTTTTATAATGGGTTGGGTCGAATTTATACTCTAAAAATTCGAGTTGAGTCGAGTTTAGGTGGAGGAAATATACTCTTTAGGTCGAGTCGAGTCGGGTGGAAGATATATATTTTCGGAGTCAAATTAAATTTGGATGAAAGGTATATATATTTTAGATCGAGTCAAATTGGTAAAAAGCCCGACTCAACCCGACCCGTTATTGTCCCTAAAAAAACACACCTAAATTTATGTAGTCTAGCTTGCCCGTCGCTTTCCAAAATAATTAACAATATTTAACTAATAACATTATAAAAACACACAAAATTATATTAAATTAAAGTATCAAGATCAAAGGATGTAAAAACCCCCAAATTATATTAAGCATCAAGTCAATTTGGTGAGAAAAGAATTATCATTATTTCTTTTGGGTCATGAGTTTCAGCATCATGAGTGTTAGGGGTGTGAATATTTAATGTCAAACGGTTAAGAATTATCTTTTAAAAAGATACTATTTTATACTTACCTTAGATTAATAAAAAAATATCAATATCAAATCTAAAACTTTGGCATGGTTGAAGGACCACAATCATAATTTGACCTTCAACGCTCCTCCAAATTAAATAATAATCGACTCAAGTCACAATGAAGTTAGTTAATAACTAATGAAAAGTAGAAAGGGAAACGATTTAGAAAATTGAAATATAAATATACATGACCACCCCTTCTTTTTATAATTTTGAAGTCATTGTGTAATAATTAGGCTTTGCTTTGTGTTGCTTAATAGTTACTTATTTGCACCGGCAGCTTCCAATTTTAATTCATTTCCAATCCAAGATTTAATTTCAACCATTTAAAGCTAAATTAAGTGTTTTCCAATTTCAAGTAAGAATGATACTATGCAAATAAAATAATTAATAAATTCCAACCCCAAGTAATAAAGTATCCATTAATGAAATTCTTAACATAAATGTTATAATTATTAATTAGTCTAATAAGATAAGACACTATATTTCTTAAGTAATATTAAGAGTTATATTATGACATTGTGAATGAAGTAAATTAAGATAAAAAAAATCACCCTTATAATTAATCTTTATAGTATCCAATTTAAATTAATCATTAAATGCATTGAATATGTGATTATAATAAATAAAAGGCTTAAGGGTCACTTTTGTTCGTGTAGTAGACGGTTTCGTTTCTATCGTATTTTCGTATCAATTTAGTCCTAAAAGTTGTTTAATTATATCATTTTATACCATACCTCTAACTTAAAATCCTAAATTGATAACCCTAAGCTCTAAACCATAACCCCATAACCTCTAAACTTTAAACGCTAAACTTTAAATCTTAATCTCTAACTTAAAACCTTCAATTTAGGATTTTAAAGGGATGAAAATGATACATTAACTTTAATATAAGGATAAAAGTTAACCTTTATCTAAATAAAAATGTTTCGATCACGATTTTTAATTTTTGATATTTTTTTCTTTTCAAAATGCAATCTTTTATAACATCTATAACAATATATTAAAAGC